ATGCTTCTCAGCTCTTTTCTGATTATTTATTAGTGTGTGCTGTAAGCAGCCTCAGATGCATACATGTGCTTAATGAGTGCAATTTTATTACTACGAATTTTGTATGAGTATTGATTATCTCAAATATTCAAGTTAATAAATAACATCTTTTTGCACTAAAATTAATACCAGTGTTGGGGTCTTACACCAGGACCTCAATATTAGCTTCTACTGAGATGCATTAGGTTGTTAGCATTCCAGTCTTCCAGAGGTAGCTGAAGCCTACCTGCATTTGGCCTCCTGAGTGGATCAACTAGCCCTAATATTCTCACTTTCTTTCTCTTTAAGGAGTTTTAATTGCCCTGAAACCAAATCAGAAAAATCTATACATGTATTATTTGAAATGGGTTTGAGGTATTTTTTTTTTTAAAACTCAAAAACTAGAGGGGACCAGTGGAGTATACTTCCCTAGGCCTTTGCTGAAAATAATTGCCGTTGGATGCAGCTTGCTCCATTCCAAAATCCTAAAAATATTCCTCAAGAGCACCTTTGAGCCAAGGGTAAATTCCATCACAGGCAAGGAAATCAGCCCAACCTTTCTTTGAATTTGCTGTGGAAAAGTTAAGAAGAGGCTCTTCCCCTCCTCCCCAGTTAGAAATTACAGAAACTGGGTTTAATAAACAAAACAAATTTTATTACCTATAAAAGGCAGATTTTAAGTGGTAAAGAGGTAACAAACAGAACAAAGCAGATTACTAGGAGCCTCCTCTAGCACATCATTGGAGACAGTACTGGATGTCCAGTTCCATTTGTAATTTGCAGTGTTGTTGTAGCCATGCTGGTTCCAGGATATGAGAGAGACAAGGTGGGTGAGATGGGCCAACTTCTGTTGGTTGAAAGAGACAAATTTTAAAGCTTCACAGAGCTCTTCATCAGGTCTGAAAAGGGTAACCAGAGTATCACAGGTAATACAAGGTGGGAGAGATTGTTAAGCATAAGAGGTTCACATATGTTGCAAGAAACCACTTAAAATGAAGGGGGAAATTAACACTTCTGCAGTGATAGGATGAAAGGAGGGTTAGTAGGTTACAAATTGTAATGAGCCAAAAAAATAGAGTCTCTGTTGAGAAAATGATAAAAGACAAAAACACCCTATGAGACATGGGCGAACACTTTTCACAAAGCAGTTACTCTGCATCTGACCTATCAGTCCTCGTCCTCAAAGGAAACCTGCATAACACCTTCATAAGATGAGCTTGGGAACTTAAATTCATACCTCTGCTAGATACTAAAAACCATGGTCTAAGAGACACTGGCCTTCTGGCTCATTACAGCAATTTGAAGTATTTGTAAAATGTGACTATCCTGGAAATAATCTACTTAATTAACTATATTATTCATACACAGCTGCTTTATGGCACTGATATTTATAAAGAAAAAGGGAGTAAAATGATACTGTTTGAAATGAAACAAACTATTTCAAGTGTGACAGCCTGAAAATACAGGATCCCAATCATCAGAATTTTCAAAAGACTTTTTCCCCCACAGGTCAGGTATGTACAGCTTCTTTTCTGTCCAAAAATGGCCCAGAATCTGCAAGTGAAAAAACATGCTGAACTTTTAGTCTAATTTATTATTTATTTATATTATCATAGTGCCTAGGCACCTCAGTCATGGAGCAGGACTCCATTGTGCTAGGGCTGTAAAAAGAACAAAAAGACAGTCCCCACCCACAAAGAGCTTATGATGCCCCAAAATTTGATTAACACAGAGTTAATGTTACCCAGGGGTGTCCAGTGGCACTCCCGAATGTCGAGAATGGCTAAGCTTAAATCTCTGAAAACCAAGAAATACAATGTTAAGGTACACGCCACCCCTGCACCTGGACTCTGCCCCTTAGAGCTGGCAGTAATCATTGGAAATGGTTTGGTACGAGTGGTATAATAGGTAGATGTGAGAAAGTTTTAAGAGAAGATGCCATTGTATGTGTTGTGCACCACAGATTTGAATTCCAGCAGTTATCTGCATGCACTCCAACTGCCTTCACTGTATGGAATACGGAAAGGATTTGTGGGAGTAGTTTGGCAGATCTGTTACTGTGATATGTTGAAAGGTGCATGTGTGCTTCATTTCAGCACAGAATTTTGTCAGTTTTGTCCATGGAGGTGTAGGAGGGCATCCTTTTGCCGTGGAGATTGTCAGTGTACTGGTGTACATGACTGTGGTCTTGCGGTTTAGTGAGGAGTAAGTGAAAGCAATGTCTCAGAAGGCGTCTTCTAGGCCAGGGTGAAGGGGAGGTGATTTTGAGCAAGTCTGGGGTGATTTGTGGGGATAGGCTCCACAGTTGAATGTAGGTCAGTGTAGTTAGCTCCTTTTTGCTATGCCTGACTTAAACCTGAGTTTCACCTTAGGCAAAGAGAAGTTATTAGCCTTTTTCCTACCCAGCTCATATGCTGTATTCCCAGTGTTTTGTAGCATCTGTATGGGTAGTGCAGAGATAAAATTCTTAGACCGCTTCTTCATTGATGTCTGCTTCTTGGAGCAGCTAGTCCTGGAACCCACAAGCGGAGAGGCAATTCTTGATTTAGTTCTAAGTGGTGCACAGAATCTGGTCCAAGAGGTGAATATAACTGAACTGGTTGGTAATAGCAACCATAATATAATTAAGTATAACATCCTTATAAGGGTTTGGGGTGGGGGCATGCCAAAAAAATCCACCACAGCAGCATTTAACTTCAAAAAGGGCAGCTACACAAAAAATGAGGAAGCTAGTTAAACAGAAATTAAATGGAACAGCCATAAGGGTGAACTGCCTATAAACTGCATGGAGACTATTTAGAAACTCCACAATAGAGGCTCAAGTTAAATGTATACCCGAAAGAAAAAAAAACACACAAAGAGGACCAAAAAATGCCACCATGGGTAGACAGCAGAATAAAAGAGGCTGTTAGAGACAAAAGGACATCCTTTCAACATTGTAAGTTAAATCCTAGTGAGGAAAATAGAAAGGAGCATGAAATCTGGAAGGTTAAGTGTAGAAGTATAAGGTAGGCCAAGAAAGAATTTGAAAAGCAACTAGCTAAGGACACAAAAACTAAATTATTTTTATTTTTATTTTTTTATTTTTTGCTGTAAGTACATTAGAAGCAGGAAGCCTGCCAAAGAATCAGGCCACGTCTACACTACCTGCCTGAATCGGCGGGTAGAAATCGATCTCTCGGGGATCGAATTATCGCGTCTCGTCGGGACGCGACAATCGATCCCCGAATCGATGCTTGTACTCCACCAGCGCAGGTAGGAGTAAGCGCCGTCGATGGGGGAGCCGCGGAGGTCGATTTGCCGCTGTCCTCACAGCGGCGTAAGTCGGCTCAGATACGTCGAATTCAGCTACGCTATTCGCGTATCTGAATTTGCGTATCTTAAATCGAACCCACCCGTAGTGAGGACGTAGCCTTAGTGGGACTGCTCTGTCAAGTATCAGGGGGTAGCCAGGTTAGTCTGTATCCACAAAAACAACAAGGAGTCCGGTGGCATCCAGTGCAGACTGAATGAAATTTGTAAAATGGGGATAGTAAACCCCACCTTTGTGAAAATGCTTTCAGATTCTGGTGCTTCAGGCACTATATAGGTGAAAAGTTATTATTTGGATGGTAATATGTGATATAAAATACTTTGTACACTTGTATCGCTTTTCACCTAAGGATCCCAAAGCACATTGCAAACATTAAACCTCACAACCTTCCTGCCAGAGAGATGGGTGTGGTGACTTTTTTTTTTTTTGTAAGAAAGTGGGGAACTGAGGCGCCCTGAGGGTCAGTTACTTTCTGACATCAGAGGAAATCGGTAGCAAGAGATGAGCACAGAACCCAGGTGTTCTAACACTCACTCCTTTGATCCAGCCCCAGGACCCTCCTTCCCTTCACATTTGTGTTCTTCCTAAAACTAGGATGACCATATTTCCCAAAGGGGAAATGGGACACCCTGTGGAGCTGGCCCGAACTCTCCCCTGCCCGTGCGGGGCTGGTATCGCCGCTCGTCCCCACGCACGTTCCTCTGCACCGCACCCCACTTTTTTCTGACAAAACTGATCAAGTCTGCAAGACAAACCGGACAGATGCTCACTTTTGCCCCCCCAAAAAGTCAGGTCGGCCGGGACAGGGTTTCAAAAAGGGATGGCCTGGCCAGAACGGGAGCTATGGTCACCCTATCTAAAGCGAATGAACGGCACCAGGAAGCCCTCTCTGACAAGAAACACGCTGCTGCAGCCTCTTCCCAGTACATCGCCTTAGGTTATCCTCCTTTACACTGGTGCTTGGGAGCGCTTTTCCCACTGGCGCTTGCATTATTCATCATCAGCCATTGCTTTGGCTAAACACCAGGGAGGAAACTCCTAAAGGCAAGATCGCTTCAGTCTATCATACCCTCCCACCCCTTTAATCCCCAGGGTGTTTTGTTTTACAGAGGTTCCCGTTGCCAGGGTCAATCCCAGCTCATGTACTCTCACTCACATCTATCCACGTACCCATTAAAATAACCCCGCCCCGCCCCCCAAATACCCCACCCCATAAGGCACCATCATGTGCAGGGGCTCTGGGGACCGGCAAAGGCTGCTGCGGACAGGTGGGTGGGTTTAACCGGCTGTGATGGGCAGGGAGGGGTGTCTCCTTTTGTTGCTGTTACTGTGTTTATGATTAGCGGCCTCGGCGAGAGCAGGGCAGGGTCTGTGCCTCCCTCGCTCAGGCAGCAGCGTCCCTCGCTGTGCTGCGGCTCTGCACACACAGGGCTGGGACACGGGGGAGTGCAACACCCGGGCTGCTGCAGCTACTCCGGAGCCAGGAGCTGGCGGCCGCCAGAGGCAGCGGCTGCAGCCCAGCGGGGCCAGAGAGCTGCATGGGGGGGCTCCGTGCACAGTGCAGCATCTCCCTGCCGCTGCTCTGAGTCTCTCCCGCGCTGCTCGCTGACTCGGGCTCTCTCTGCTCCTGTTCCCTGCAGGACCCGTTTGTTCCCCCTCGGGCTATAAGAAGGCGGATGATGAGATGTCCGGAGCCACGTCTTCAGCGGATCAGGCGGAGGCAGCAGCCCGCACCATTTACCTGAACCAGCCCCAGCAGAGCAAGTTCCGCGACAACCGGGTCAGGTAAGAGCGCGCGGCCGCCTAGGGCAGGTGCCGCCCGCCTCCTCCACCCTGCCCTAGCACTTGCTGCTCCGCGCTAATCCCCAGCCCGCGAAAACCCTGCACGCTGCGAGTCCCTGTATTACTGCTGCTGCCGCCGGCGCCTCTGGGGAGAGTGTTTTTGTTTTGCAGCCTGGGGCCGAGGCAATACCTCAGCCGGCTCTCTGCGGGTGAAGTCCTGCCTCTTGGACACCCATGTGTCGCAGTGTAGTCATGTCAGTAGCTGGTGTGCGGACTCGGGGTGGCTGCAGCCCCAGAAGGGAGCTACAAGCAGAGGGAGAGACGAGTGAAAGGCAGGTCACTCGCAGGTCATGTACAATGGAATCACTTTTGTGGCACAAAAATGAGAGAGTCAGTTACAGGTGATAAACTCTTAGTCCCACAGTAGTGAGAGAGAATTACAAGACTCTTTGGAGCAGGATTGTGAGAGCTAATCACAGGTGATATTTATACCCAAGGTTCTTGTTTGCAGCTCCAATGATGAAAGGCAATAGCGGGTGAGATGTAGGATAGTAGGTCTAAATCAGATCTCACTTCAGCTGATGTAAAATAGAAGTAACTCTGGTGGAGTTACTCAGGGGCAAAACTGGTGCAAGAGAGGTCAGAATTAGACCCACTGTTTGGAAGAGGCCTCGCAGAGTCTACATCTTTGCATTTTGTTACCGTTTTCAAAGACGTACTAGATTTTTTTAAAATATGACATAATAGTAATAGGAAGTAATACAAGTTTAACCAGGCTAGCCAGTTATATATATGTTTGTGTGGGACATAAGCCCAAATAATTAAAAGATCATGGCCAATGAGTTATTGTGCATCTTTGAAGGAGATCAGTAGGAATTTGTTACAGTAATTGCTTAAAATGCTTTCTGTATTTTAAAAATCTTCTGTGGCATGGGCTAGTTTCAGAGTGGTTACTTGGGGGGATAGTAGGAATGGTGCTGAATATCAGAGACAGGTGCTCAATAATTTAAGGAAGCTTCTTGTCTAGCGGGTTTTCTGCTGTTTTAATCTTGATGTTTGGTTCATTGGTCAGAGATTAGTTTGTTATACAATAATTTATTAATGTCTTTGTGAAGAAAAAGGAATTTCAAAGCATACCTAGAATGGCACTTTCTATTTGCTGTTCTAGTATGTCTGTTACCAATGGTAATTGTTTTGAGAATGTTGGTGTTCTGAACAGGGCAGCACTTTGCTTATATTGGACTTATCCACAGCTTGGATATTGTACATTGTATCCTGAAAGAATCTTATATGGGTTGAACAGCTTGGTTACAATTTTCCCTTGCTTGAAATCCCTCCTTTTGGAATATTTCCAATGGATATTTTTTCCTATAAGCTTTCTGATGAACTGGTGTAGAATGTTGCAGATCTTTAGGTTTTCTGTAACTTTCTCCACTTCATTGTTTCCTTCTTGCTAAATGCCTGTTTGTGGGCTGAGAGAATTTTGTTTTTAGTTATCGAGAGCACTTGTGCTCCTTTCTGTCTCCCTTAGACCATTGCAGGGTGAAGGGCAGAAAGTGAACATTGACCAAAGTGTGCAGGTTTTTGAGAGGCAGATTCTGTTGTCCTAGGCTGTCTTAAATTGCATGCAAAAAGGAAATACCGTGGAGTGGGGAGAGGGTTGGTTAAAATAAACAATAAGAGATCAGTTCCTGTTACTATGTTACTGGTAGTTGGGAAACTGTTGCACACCCATAGTTGCTTTTTGAGAGCCATCCAGTACATGTTGAAAAGGTTGTTTAGGCACAATACTACCCAGGGAGATTTTGATTTAGCAGTTCTCCAGTCTGTTTCTTTATTTGCTTCAGACACGGAGTTCCCGGGCTATATGGCAGTGGTTTTCAAACTTTTTTTCTGGCAACCCAGTTGAAGAAAATTGTTGATGCCCGTGACCCAATGGAGCTGGGGATGAGGGGTTTGAGGTGTGGGAGGGGCTCAGGGCTGGGGCAGAGGGTTGGGGTGGGGGGGTGAGGGCTGCAGGGTGGGGCTGGGAATGAGGGGTTTGGGGTGCAGGAGGGGGCTCTGGGTTTGGGGGGGGGCTCAGGGCTGGGGCAGGGGATTGGGGCACGGGCTTAACTCGGGCGGCTCCCGGTCAGCGGTGCAGCGGGGCTGCTAAGGCAGGCTTCCTTCCTGTCCTGGCACCGTGGACTGCGCTGCACCCCAGAAGCAGCCAGCAGCAGGTCTGGCTCCTAGGCGGAGGCGCACAAGCAGCTCCATGTGGCTCTTGCCAGGATGCACCGCCCCCCCCAGTTCCCATTGGGCAGGAACTTGGGGTGGGGGCAGTGCGTGGAGCCCCGTGACCCCCGCCTAGGAGCCGGACCTGCTGCTGGCTGCTTCTGGGGCACAGCGCGGTGTCAGAACAGGTAGGGACTAGTCTGCCTTAGCCGGGCAGCACCGCCGACGGGACTTTTGAAGGCCCGGTCGGCAGTGCTGACCAGAGCCACTGTGACCTAGTGCCTTACACAGGGCCGGCTCCAGGCACCAGCTTAACAAGCAGGTGCTTGGGGCGGCCAAGGGAGAGGGGCGGCACCTGCCGCAATTCGGGGGCAGCAGGTCCCTCACTCCCTCTAGGAGCGAAGGACCTGCTGCTGAACTGCCGCTGCCGATCGCGGCTTTTTTTTATTATTATTATTTCCAATTGCCACTGCCGATCGCGATCGCGGCTTTTTTGTTGTTGTTGTTGTTGCTTGGGGCGGCAGAAATGCTGGAGCCGGCCCTGGCCTTACATTCCAGACCCAGTACTGGATCGCGACCCACAGTTTGAAAACCACTGCTATAGGGGCACTACCGCACCAGGAATAAGTCAAAGTGCTAGCTTGGTGTTCACAGCTCATGCTCCCTTTCCATGAGGTGTCTGCCACACATTGACTGACTGGAATTCTGCTGTGATAACTTGAGCCACCTGGGTTCAGGTTATACCCCTCTTTATTACAGACCTGGCTGAGGCATGTTGTAGGTTCTTTCCCCTGTTTAGAGGGATGCCTACAGCCACTGTTCATTACCTCCTCTACAAACACACCAAGTGCAGTCACATTCCTTGTTGCCTTCTGGGTTTGATGCCTCCTCCTCCAGTTGAAAAAGGACTTTGGGGAAAGCGTGAGGAGAAATTGTGCCTCAGATTGTGGCTGTCCCTTGCACAGGTGCACAAGGGCAGAGCTGGCAAAATACACAGGCAGAAGAGCCCGCTGCACCATCCTAAGGGGGGTGCACAGTCCCATTTCCCTTGGTCACCTAGGAGCTCCCTTTGAGGAAGTGTCGTTCTGTATCACACCACAGTCCAGTTGGGCTGCATAGAGCAGTGGTTTTCAACCTGTGATCTGTGGACCCCAGGCGGGGGTCTGCAGACCATGTCTAAGATTTCCAAAGAAGTCCGCACCTCCATTTGAAATTTTGTAGGGGTCTGCAAATGAAAAAAGGTTGAAAACCACTGTCCTAGAGCAGGTGTTCTCAACCTTTTTCTTTCTGAGGCCTCCCCAACATGCTATAAAAACTCCATGGCCCACCTGTGCCACAACTGTTATTCTGCATATAAAAGCCAAGGCCAGTGCTAGGGAGTAGCAAGCAGGGCAGATGCCCAGGGGCCCCACGCCATATGGGGCACTGCGAAGCTAAGTTGCCCAGGCTTCGGCTTCAGCCCCGGGTGGAGGCGTTCAGGGCCTTGGGCTGCAGTTCCTTGTGGCAGGGCTTTGGCTTTCTGCCGTGGGCCCTAGTGAGTCGAACACCGGCCAGGCTTGGCGGACCTCCTGAAACCTGCTTGCGGCCTCCCATGTGACCCCAAGATCCCTGGTTGAGAACTACTGTCCTAGATGATGGCCGGTCTATGGGCTAACCTCAGTGAGAGTTTGAGTAGGGACTGAGTGAAATCTCAGGAAGGGCATGCTCTTTTGTTCCTACAAAAATAAAATCAAAACCACTTTGACTGTTTTAATGATTTATATGAGTATTTTACCAGGACAAACCCCTAAAGATGAAACATCTCATTTCCAAGTGTGTCCTGGGAGCAGCAAAAGGAAGAAGTAGTGCTATAAATCCACTGTCTCTGAAGTGAGAACAAATAAATATAATAAGCAGTTATGTTGAGTTCCCAGTTCTTTAGATAATGCAATTTGTAATGGTTTGCAATTAGTAGTACTTCTTGCAGAGATTAGGTAACAATGCCATGATGCAGCCAGATAACTAAATAACAGATGATCAAAGCCATATTTTTGGATCTGATTGCAAGTTTTAGTACTAAATTCTGATTACAACAGCTATTATAACTGGTGCGGTCTTTGTTTAAATTGATACTTACAAACTGTAGGCCTGATCCTGCAGCCTGGACACAGTTCCATGATTTTGCCTGTGTCAGGTTCAGCCTCTGCAAGTAGGTGTATAAAAAAGGCATAATCCGTAAGGGCAGAATTCTGCTCTCTACTACATATGGTGGATCTTGATTCCAGTATTTTGCTCATTCTGCCTGTAAAAATCTCCCATCAACAACCCTGAGAGCAGAATTTTGGGCTTACAGTCTTGTAACATGAATCTTGTGGGACTTCTTTGGTATCCTGCAGATGAGATTTTTCTTATGTTCTGAGATTAATGGTCATCTTCTGAACAGACAGAAGGTAAATCATCCCAGGAAAGAAGATAATAGACCAGGAGCCTTCAGTTTTACCTTAAAAATGTGCTTTACAAACAATGGCTTAAGCCTCAAGGGGCCCTGTGAGACAGGGAAGTATTCCCATTTTGCAGGTGTGCACACTAGCGTCCAGAGAGGTGAAGTAACTTTCACATAGGAAGGCTCTGGCACAGACAGAGCTAGAGATCTTGTTATTACAAGTTCTGTGCTTCAGCCAAAAGGCCATCCATATGTCTTAGAGCAGTGGTTTTCAAACTTTTTTTCTGGGGACTCAGTTGAAGAAAATTGTTGATGCCCATCACCCAACGGAGCTGGGGATGAGGGGTTTGGGGTGTGGGAGGGGCTC